CTTGCTCGCCTCTCTCCTCGTCGCTCCACTATGTTTTGCGCCTAACACAGCAGTGTTTACAAAAATAACTATTTTATTTTGTAGATTTTCTTGCAGTGGCGAAATACCCACAGATATAGGATTTTTTTGACAGAGAATTTTAACCTAAATTTTTTCCAATCAGGTTTTTTAAATTCTGTTTCTTTTTTTGATAGTTACGAGTATTTTAAAAAATAACACAACTGGTTAGACAAACATACAACTGTGATTAAACGGTTTTCATCAAGTGTCTTTTTTGCGACTGTTTTTCTATATTTGCTCTCTCTTTCTATCACACTACTTTTTTTTAGCAAAACAAGAACTACCAAAGAAAACCGAAAAGTTATTAGATAATTTATGTTAAAAGTTTTTTTGACGGTTATTTTAAAAATAATCGGTTTGAAAATTATTTTGTTAGATGGATAATGCCAGACAAAAATCCTCTAATTTGTTAGTACAAATAATATTTATATTTTATTTAAAATAAAACTTTAGGAATTTCTTAAATATACAGTATGTCCCCGGATTGCCTTTACAGGAGAAAAAAAACTTTTTTTATTATTGAGATTTTGAGAAAAGTGCATTCTTCACAAAAATTTTTGCTTGTTCTAAAATGATTAATATACTTTATACTTTTTTTTATACTTTTCCAAATTTCCATACCGTTTTAGAGGAAATTGAAAAAAAAAACGTGAAAAAGTGGTTGATTTTTTTTCTAGGTCCTAAAAATTAAAAGGCGGTTTTATGGTAATATAATTTCGATTTCATTCTTTGATAGATGATTAATATTAATTTTGATTAACGTCATATTGAACTAAATAATGTTGTGCTCTTTGACATTTTAAAACAACAAAAAATATGACGTTAATTAAAATTCTATCAATAACAATCGACGAAAACGAAATTATATTACCATAGAAACGCGTTTTAAAAAATTTGGTTTTTAGGACCAAATCAACCATATTTTTACGTTTTTTTTTCAATTTTCTCTAAATCGGTATGAAAATTTGAAAAAGTATGAACGGGATTAACCATTATAGAACAATATTTCTCAAAATGTCAATAATAAAAAAGTTTTTTTTCCTCTTGTAAAGACAATTCGGGGACATACTGTACAGTAGATTCAAAATATTTTTGGGTATATGAAAAAAAATATTATTTTTATTTCTTTAGAGTTTCTCTTGATAAAAGTCTTCACAAATGAGCAAACTGCCAATGAACAAAATATTGTTTGGTATATTTTGGTAGTGTTTACTTTTCGAAGTTCCCCTGTATAAGAGACAACAAATTTTTACTGCTTTATTAACAGTTTGCTGAGTCTAGAGACTTTTTTTATCAAGAATAAAAAATTATGCGAAACTCGTTTTCATATATTCCATTATTTTGATCCTACTGTCAAGTAGAGCAAAAAGCAATGCAATAATATAAAATACATACAGGATCTCTAAAAAAATCTGCATAGAGTAGGATTAAAAAACAGATTAAGTTAGGTAAAGTTTTTGCTTTTCTATAATCAAAAATTTAGTATGGTATGAGCGACTTAGTTTTCTGTCAACTTTGACATTTCTTATTAAAAATATCAAAAAGTGCCAATTTTTTATTAAAATTTTATACGATAATTTCCTATTTTTTATAATTTTTTTGATTATTTTGATCAATCCCTGTATATTCACTTTTACCTATGGATACAAAAATAAAACTTTGAAGCATAATAAACAGTTTGTAGTCAAAGTATTTGCGAAATAGTGATTAATACATCAGATTAACAAATATTATATTCATCTATTTGAGAGAGGACTTTCTATAAGAGTCGATACTCGCGAAGTCGGTAGGCCATTGACGATGATATAGCTGTAGACCGTAGTTCGGACTCCGGGTAAACAAAGTAGGCCTCGTCCACATTAGCATTAACAGCAAAAAGCAGGCGTTATCTGAAAATACTTTTTTGCCTTTTCTCAAATTAAAAGTTAATATACAGGGACTAGTCAAAATATTCATAATATTGACCAAAAATAGAAATTATCACAGGGTGACGAAATTTAGAAGGTAGATAATGAATGCAAAACTGCAACATTTTTCAAAATTTTAACAAATAAGAGCACGTTTCAACATTTTTAATAAAGAATATCAAATTTGAGTGTTTAAATAAGCAAAAACTATCTGTGTTCTCTGATTATATTTGTGCCTAACATAATACTAAAAAAATCCTATTTTATGTGGAGTTTTTTTAGACACTGGACGTTTTTTTATTTCGAATAAATAAATATTTAATCTCCTTGAGAATATTTTACTTAAACTATTTTTATCTATTTATACGTGTTGATTATGAGTTTTTAATCTGAGGTGAGATAATATTAGAGGTTGTTTTGTTCTGGCCTTTTACCGTGATACAATTTTAGATAAATTATTATAATTGTTTTTATATAGAGCTCGGTTGTGGTTAAGGTTTAGATTACAATAAGTATTGGCATGGGTCACTCCGTTTTAAGTAATTTTTAGGCAAACGACCAATAGAGCTAACGCAATAAGTGCCAACTACACAATTTTTTTATATACCATATAGATAAAGATAATTGTTTTTCATTTTTGAAATAAAACTATTTATGTTTTTAATGCTTAAGTTTTTTTATACTCTTTAGCCTTTGTGATCAAATAATACATGAAGCCTATACAGGTTGTTAATTTGTTTATTACTCGCGGCAAGAGCTTTATGGTTGAAATATGGCAACCTCAGCCTGCCTCGTCGATAGAGACGACGCGACGGGACGAGTCGGTAGAAAATTCTATAAGTGCATACTGTATTATTTCAATAGTCAGTGTTGCCATTCTTTCCTCCCTATAAGTAACTGTCTGTATACAGATTTGTTAACTCGACAGTTACTTATAGGGGAACAGAATGGCAACACTGCCTACATTCCAAATGAGTACTAAGCTAAGCTGCCGACTTGTCGCGTCCCGTCGTCTCTCAAAACTCACGCTTGCGTAGTTCAAAGCTGTTGAACGAAAAGGACCGACTTATGTGGATTTTGTATAGCTCCATCTCAAAAATTTGGCTTCGATTTCTATTCCTGGCTAGCGATATAGTGCAATATTTAGATATCAAGCCTTAATGTATGCAACTCACATTACACTACATCCTAAGGATATTCCCTCTCTACCTGCTCATCTAATTTCAGCGTTAAGAATAGGTGACCTAAGGTCGAGAATCAAATAGAACTATGTTTAGGACTAAACATATTGCTGGTTGCATACTGTATTAAAGCATAATAAATAGAAACAAAAAAAAAATGCTGTTAATTCAGAAATGAGTAAGCAATAGATATTAATTAAACAACATACCTTTTTATTAAAGTTTTCTATATTCTGATAAACATCATAACAAATACTTATTCGTATAACAAATAGATTATAAAAAATTATAAACGCTTTATAATTCGTAATTACGATACCTTAATAACCTACGATTGGTTTATTTTTATCACATAACGTCTTATATCCGTTAAAATTTTGTAACAAATGGCATAAAAATTCAAAAATGGTAACTTATCCTTAAATAACATGAATCTAGTCTCTAATATTAACGGCCGTATATCGAATATGTCATTTTTTGTCTTTTTGAATGTTATGAAAAATTTAGTGAATAACTTGCTTAATTTTCGAATCATAAAATGACGGAAACAAAGGTAAATTTAGATGAAAATTTCGTGTAACCTGTGTTACTTTTTGTTAAATATTTTTAGGTCGTCTAATTTTCTAAAATATTTGAAATTAAAGCAGGCGTTGTGACCGTTTTGGTTACTGATGAAAACTCATATTTTTGATATTTTAAAAAATACGTTCTTGTGAACAATATCACAAATCTAAACAATTTAAAATGTTTTTTTTCTGTAAAAAACTATAAATATCTATTTATAGATGCAGTTCTTTTGTAGAATTCTCACAGGTGCCAGAAAAAAATTAAATTAATCGATATTACGTCATCAGGAGACAGATTTTAAGTGGTGGCAATAGCAATGTTTCTTAAATAAGTGCAAATCTTGATAAAAGAACTATATTGTCTATAAGAAAAATGTCTATATTCCATGTTTTAATTATGGCCAAAATACTCAACTTATTTAAGTGAAAAACAAACAAAAAATCTTTACATTTTGAGAGCCGCCGATTTATTCATGTTTGTTTTCTTTTCTACATTAAATTGGCTATCTATGTTGCCATATTTACATGAAAGTATGTTATCTAACTATTTTTTAAATTTCACACCTCAAATACAAAAGGGGTATATACAAAGTAATGTACGAAATGACAACATTGCATGCCTTTATTATACGGTTAAGGAAATATTTTTGAGAAAATTTCAGCTGAACCTGCAGCTCTAAAAGGTTTTCAAAAATATACTGGAAAATTTAAAGAAAAATACAAATATTTCAATAACATTTTTCTTAAATAAATTCATAGGCTTGTCTAGGCTGTTGAAATATACTAAATAAACCTGCAGCACGATTTCTTTTAATTTTCCTTCAAAATGCCAAGAAAAATAGAAAATTTTGTACCTTCATTTTGCTAAAAAACCTCTGAGTAACCTAAAACCTGTGCTAAAACCTAAATTGTGTTACTATCAGTTAAAATATTTGCACTTATTTAATCATTCACCTTGTATAAGTGTATAAACTACTGATCCTATTATAGTAGCTTACTTTTTTTGCTATATTTCATAGTTAAAATAAGATATAGTCCAATCACCTTAGGGCTAAAAACGGTTTACGGTTAAAAAAACGGCGTCAGTGATGGCTATAAAATCCAGTTGGCCTGGGAATGTCACCATTCCCATGCCAACTGGACGCCGTCTTTTTCTCGATCGTACGGTATACGAGCAAGACCAATGACTAAAGAATACAATTCTTTAATCATTGAGCGAGACTGTGATTTTGTCATCTACTTGTCATGTAATAGAGATTAAGTGTGTCAAAAGTAATGACTGTCTATTTTTTTTGTTTAAAAGATCTAATGGTGATTAGGCTATGGCATTATACAGACGTTTTTTAATTGATTTTTTAAACATCTTCTACAAAAGAACTGAATATTTCCCTGGATAAATTAAAAATGAAACACTTAAAAATTTAAATATTAAAAACCAGAATATTTTAATCTAGTGTTTCAAAAGTTATTTTCTTGCGTTTTAGAGAATATTAACAAAAAAATATCACTAAAAATTTAAGTCGTAACTGATTTTTGAAACCTCAAATGCCTCAGACCTCCAATATTTTTTTGCTCTGTTATACTCCTATCTTTCTCATCGCCACCTCTATGCTCAAAGTATTTACATATCTCCCTCACAGCGATATGAGTCTGAATATTGCTCAGATCGTGGCAAGACTTCGCTCTCTTAGTTATAGCAGTCGTGTCCACCCTAGAGGACACGTCCTCTGAACTCCTAACCTTCCTCCCCATCTTGCACAGCGACTCGAAAAGAAAGAGCTTCTCTTTGACAGGCACGTAGGTCTCAACGTTCTGACATTTCTTCAGTAAAGTCTCTATAACCTCCTCAGTGTTTTCCGAAGATTGTGATGGTGATTTTACTGGGGAAACAGCAGGCGATTCAGGCCAGTCAGGAATCCGGGTTGAACGACTTGGTGAATCGGGGACGTCGTAGCTGATAGAGGGAGATGTTTTGGTTTGGGTGATGTTGTTGAAGTTCCAGTCTTTTGGGCAAGGGTCGGCAGTCTTGGTCCAGCACTCGGCCAGGGTGAGGATGTCCAGGTATTTGATAGCGTCCAATGGAGTTTGGCGGATCAGTTCAATGGCTAGGATCTTCACCCATTGGTCGAAGGATTTCTTGTCAACGGTCTAGAATCAAAAGAAGACGAAGTATAAGTTACTGATTAGTTTCAGAGAAATAGGTAAACAGAGGGGTGCCCTAACATATCAGGGTGTCCCACTAAGAATAGCTCTCGGCTGTATCTCGGAAAATATTAGCCGTAGGGCCTGCCGAAGAAAATATTTATAACTAAAGAGACTATGAGAAATTGCTGCAAATTATTTTCAAGTGTCTAGAACGACCGCTAGAGGGTGCAACTGCTGTAAAAAATAAGAAAATGGAATTTTTACAAAATTTTGCCTAGATAAGCGGTACTATAAATAATAGCTTGATAATCTTCAGTAAATTTTGAATATTTTTTGTTAGAACCATTTTCCTCTATCTGCTAAAGTAAAGTGAGGGAAGGTTAGATCTGCATTGATTTAAATATTAATAACTCCGGACTGGATGAACGGAGTCCAACAAACGGACGCTCGTTTAAAAGAGCGTTTCTTACTCTATATCATACCGTGTAAACAATAATAATAAGCTTTTGAATGTAGACGCTAGGGGGCGCTGTCTTACAATTTAGCAAACATTGCGCGTTTTTTCAAAAAAAATATAAATGCGATAGTATAAGTAATTTTAGCTGATAGTAAAGAGTAATAAAAGCTTAAAAATTCAGCAAAAATCGCATAATGATATCGTCTTTCAAACCGAAGATATTAGCAAAATTATAATAAATGCGAAAAAATAAGCCCTTAATTACCTTATTTATATAACACGGTTACAGTAGCACTCTTGATTATGACTATTCTAATAAAAAATAAAATAGAAAAGATAAGCTTTTTCTAAAATCGACAACATAATATACCAGAAAACCATAATACCAGATGTATTAATATTTAATAATTAAGATATCAATGACAGTGAATAAGAAACGATGCCTCAGTGAAGTCATGGTAGGCTTTGGAAATAAGTTGCTTTTGACGTAATAGTATGAACGTAAAAGTGTAATTATAAATCAACATTTTGATACTCTTCGCAGCGCGTTTTTTCTATTTTGAAGAAAGGCATTTTTAGAAAACCAATCAAAAGATAAAAAACGCTGGTGATACAATTATACTACCTTATACAGAGTGCCTAAAAATTTATATTAAATAATTACTAGCTTTAAACGACAATAACTTGTTATATTAAATGAAACATCCTGTATATTTTACGTGATTCTGCGTAAAACTTTACCTGTAAAGTTAAAACAATGTTGGATCCTCTGCATATGGCTATGCTGTTGGGTTGAGGTCCAGCCTGGAGGCTGAGATGCCTCAAAGGCAGTCTCATAGCAGTCGAAGTTTGTTCTCCTGGAGTTGAGGATACGTATAGAAGACCACCTCGTATCTGCACTCGTCTGTGGTGCCAGTTTTTTTCGGTGTTGCATTTTACTAGCAGCTCAGCTGTAACCAATAGATATAAAATTAGTTGTATATTAAAAATTAAAAAGATCCTACAATACATACATTTAAAGAATATATTTTTTAAAATCTTGTCTATTCTATAATCTATAACTAATATTAAAAATGAAAAACGGTTATGGTAAAACAGGAAATAAGTAGTTTGTTCAAGGATCCCTTGAGATATAAGGACAGGGATGTAGAAAGG